TTAGTCCGTGAGGGGGGGGTGTCCAGACCGTGAGAGGGGTGTCCAGACCGTGAGTTGGTAATGGGGCATGTGTTTAGAGAGTTACAAATTCGCGAGACGTGTGTAGACGAGGCGTGTGGGATAGAGTCGTTGTGTGCGGCTGTGGGATTGCCTTGGCCGGAGGTGCTGGAGTTATTACCGGAGGGCTGGAGGTTGCGCTCTGGGTTGCACGGCGGTAGTGTGGCACCTGTGTGTGAAGTGCGTGGGTTGGAGCGAAGTGGGTTACGATTGTTGGGGGAGGTGGCAAAAGGGCGGTGGGCTGCATGCATGCGGAGCGGCGAGCTGGACGGCGAGCAAGTATCGCATTGCCTCCTCGGAGTGCGGCCGTGAGCGGGAACGAGATGCGAAGTGCGCGATTAGCGCGGGCCAGTTTGCTAAATGGGACGATCTACGCGCCGGCAGGTTACGACTGTGCGAGCACGATTTGTGTGGGTGACACGTCGGCTCCACTGGGTCTGCTGACGGAGGCTGCTAACTGGGTTGCACCTCTTGTCTTCGGTCAGGCCTCAACTCAAATACCTGGTACCTTCACTCTCACCTTCGCCAGCCCATCTGCTGCTAGAAAAGCCGTCGAACAACTCCCGACCCTCGTAGAGGTACTCTACAAAGCACCTTGCCAGTGCCGGATCTGCGACGCTGCCCCCTCCGTTTACGACCAACTAACCAGCTACGTAAGCCCCGCCACCGACCACCTATTCTTTTTTCCAGTTCAGATAATACGCATTTTTAAACCCATGGTCGTTCGTATCTCGACGATCGATGAAGTCCGAGACATGCTGGTCAAACTGAACATCAACGAGAGAGACGTGCACAAGGTAATTGCACACTCCACAGAGTGAGTGACCACACTATAGAGTGGTGGCCACATAGTACTCGCTATCGTGCAGGTACTCACGAGCTTACAGATGAGAGATAACTGGCTGCAATATTTGAGCCAGAAGATCGATGAAGATTCTCCCAAAGAGGATGTCGATCACGAAGCAATTGGACAGGGATTAGATCAAATGATTCGACAAAGAAGCGATCCTCCTCGGACCTCTGGCCAATCGTAAGGGACACCATTTCGACGCAGATTTTAACACAAATTTCAACCCAGGTTTCGACACCTGAAGACGGTGGACTCGGGTTTATTCTTCTTGTAGCGGTCGAGCGTCGGATAAGACGCGGAATTCTATGGATCGCGAGGGAGAGAAAGTACCCCGCGGCCAGTATACTAAAGACATGCTAGGTTCCCAAGGGTTTTTAGGGGAAGAGTATATTCCCGTGGAGGACGACAGCGATGACGAGTCGGAACCACGCCGTCGAGACGTGCACGTGTGCGATACGCTGGGTCCGAATCCGAAGGTGATGATTGCACACATGGGCACGAAGGATTGTTCGCCCTTGTTTGGCCAGACCCCCGATCTTCAGCCCGATGACCAAGATAGTTCTGGAAACGTTCAGAGCAAGTTAGACGTCGGGACCAAGCTTGACGGGACCAAGTTTGACGGGAGGACCTTCTCTACCATTCTCGAGACTCCGATGACTACCGCTGGTCGTGACGTTGTGACCGGTGGTCACGAGGCCACTGGCCGCGAGGTCGGTAGTCAGATGTTGTCTTCTAGCTCTTCGTCCACGTCCTCTATGGACGCGGAGCCGGAAATGGAATACGGTGAGGAGGAGGACTACAAGGACCTGTCACGACCACTCGATCGCTGTCCCCCTGTGTATACCGTTGTGGGTGCGCGTGTTGGTATTGAACCTAAGAAAGGGAAGACCCGGTTCTGCGTCGCTGTGATGACAGCCCCCATGAAGAAGCAAGTGCTACCCACCAGCGGACTTACGCATTTCAGCAAGTCATGCGCTCTACGAGCGCGGGCTGCCCACTGATTTTTTTCATCACTTCGAAAAAAGGAAAGAATCACTACCTGAAAACGGTCTACCCGTTTTGCCATCGAGAAGGGAAAACCTGGAGGTGGACAGCCTCCCGGTTTGTTAGGAGGTTTGTTAGGAGGGGACCAGATAATCTGGCCCTCCCTATAATCCGTTTGGACATCCGTTTGGGCAGTTTACTAATTGCTCGAGCACGGTTTTTTCAGTGGCATGTCCACGTCGTCTTTGTTTCTTTTTCGTGACAAATACATGATTGGCTGGGCTTTTGTTCCAATTTTTTTCCAGCTCTTGAAACAGTTCATCCTTTGTATGGCTCTCATGGGGGACAGCTTCAGGAAGGAGGAGACGTACTGGCAGTCTGTTACGGTCTCTGGGGCTGGGATTAGGTCCCTCCATAGTCCAACGAGCTCCCTGAATAGTGGCTCCCCCAATTCGAGAGGAATTTGCTTTGCGGGTTCATCTTGTTTGGTCTCAATCCATGTCAGGTTCCTCTCATCGAACCTGTTGCGTTCGTGGTACATCGTTTCCCCACATGCCAGCCAGTGCATGGCCGTGCAGGCGGCAGACACGAGTTTCGTCGACTCGAGCCCTAGCCGAAGGCTAACTGGTTGGTTATGGGGGAAATATTCCACGTAGAGTGTTTGACGGGAGTACCAATTTGGCTCGGTGAGATTGAACACATCAGACAGCCAAATATTCATGAGAGAAGAGGAAATCAGATCCTCCAAGACACACGCTAAGTACCACTGCTTCCCCACGTTCTTGGGCCGAGGGATCACAGTCTCCGCCTGACTCAACAGCCCTTGCAATCTGTCACCGTCCATCTTCTCAATCATAACACCCGCCAACAGCAACCAGCGCCAACAGCACATCGAAAAGTTCACGGGCACTAACACCACTCCGTTCCCGTTCACTTCCCGCAAGACCGTCTGCAGCCACCCGTAGACGAATTCCGTCAGCTGCGACACTCTTGGATCCGACAGACTCGACTCTTCTGATGGATCACTCCCGCTCATTAGACGCGCCAATAAAGCAGTCCTTCTCTCCACCAGGTCCGCCTGGATGGCAGCTGCGTCTATCTTAGCCGCCTCCACCGCGTCTGGCCGGCCCGCGTCGGTGTACCGACGCTCTAAAAAGGCGGTCCTTGCCTCCAAAGCAACATCGGTCTTAGCAGCAGTCTCCGGACCAGCAGTGGGGTCCTCCTGCGGAGACAGGTCCGGCTGAGCCAAAGGCCTCGGCTGGGATAAAAGCTCCGGCTGAGACAAAGGCTCGAGCTGAGGCGGTTGAAAGCCGGAGTCCTGGCAGATTTTGCGGTACAAGGCCGCGACTCTTATGACAGGAACTCTAGCGGCGCAGAAGAGGCAGCTGACAAGCCACTCGTCGGAAGTGTTTGGAGGCGGGTTGTAGCGGACCCTCCAGATATGCACAAGTTTGCCGAACATGAGTTCGCCCCAGAATTTGCGCAAGGCGACGGCGAAGGGCACACCTTTCGGTTTGTTCCACTGGACGTCGTCAACAGGTGGATCAAAGCGGCGGGTTAGCTCAGTGGCGGCCATTACTCGGTCCATGTTGCCAGGGAGTGTACCCAAGTTGCGGGGGAACCAGTCGAAGAAGATCGGGTCGCGGCAAATCCAGCCCAACGGCAGTCCTTCGGACGCAACCGGCCGTAGCCAGCGGCTGAGGTCCGTGTAGAGCGCGCGTTTGTCAAGACCAACGGCCAAGACCTGCCAGCCCGGCATCTCCGCGGGAGCCTGAACCGTCTTCCGCGCAGCCGTTTCCAGTCTCGCAAACTCAGCCTTTGACAACTCGCTCTGCATGAACAACGCCAACTGCGCCCAACACCACGAAACAGACCGTAGCAAGCGCACTTCGTTCTTCGCTCGTTGTCGCCTCAGCACCTTCGTGATCTCCCGCGACACGCCTGCCATGCGCCTCCGCCCCTCCGCCGACAACTGAAATCCTGCCGCCCGCTCCAGCTCCATGCACTCCTTAACCACTTCCTCCACGAATTCCCAGCCCGTCGTCGGCCGAGCCGCTCCGGGAGCCGACGACCCACTGGGGGGACTTGGAGGTGCCCCCACCAAGTCATTGGCCTTTGGGCGACGACCCCGGGCGGCGACAGGAGGGGCGCGGGCGTGCTGGGTGTCACACGCGCTTCCAGCCGAGGAAAGACGCTCCCCATCAGCAGCCGACGCGCTCGGGGTCACCACACTCGAGGTGTGCCTAATCACCGACGGCCGCACGTGCAGCCCCTGCAGCGATCCCGCCAAGGCCGCCGCCAGCGTTCGTTGCTCGGCCGCCGCTCGCTGTTCCGCCACTCGCTCCTCCGCCGCGTCGTCCGCAACTACCGATCCCCCGACCAGCCCCTCAAGTAGCACGGCGAGGGGGATGGGCAGGGTACAGCACTTGCTGTTCTTACTACACCTCATTTTCTCCTGGCGGTGTTTTTTCTGTCCCTCGGTATAAATAATTTTCCAGTGCGGTTCGTCGTGGCTTCCCCGCCACTTGTTTGCCTTCTTGATTTTGTGTGCCGATTTCACCGCGGAACCCCCCGGCACAGGGGGCCTGTTGACGTCTCGCTTTATCACGTCTCGCTTTGGCACAGAAGGACCAACTCCTCGCTCAAGTGGCGTTTTCGATCAAGCGCATGCCCGCCTGAACTGCGAACCCTGATTCGAAAATAGGCTGGATCGGAATTCATCCGCCCGAGCGCCACGTCCGCATGCTCTTGCGGTGAGTTGGTGTGATATGTGTTCGTCCCCTCGACCCATGAAAAGCTGACGCCTTGGCCAACTACAAAGCGCTACCGACGGCAACGTTGACGCATGACCTCCCGATCTCATTCCCCAGACGTTCGCTTGCGGTGTGAGCTCTCAAGACCTCCTCGTCGTGACTCTCCTTCCGACGGACCACTGTCGCTGATTACACGCGCCAAAAAGGCAGTCCTTCTCTGCACCACCTTTGCCTGGATGGTAGCTGCGTCTATCTTAGCCGCCTCCGTCGCATCCGGCATGCACGCGGCGGTATAATGACGCGCTAGAAGGGAGGTCCTTGCTTCCAAAGCAGCAGCGGTCAGTGGAACCCCAGCGGACCCCCCCCCCCTGCGGAGACAGGTGCCGCGGGGGCAACGCCTGTTGCACCAGGGTGTCTCCCGCTGAGAAATCGCGGCGGAGAAATCGGTCCCGGCTAGGAAATCGGCTCTTTCTGCGGAGGCTGTTTGATGCCGACATTGAGGCACGCACGGTAGAGAGGCGTGAAGTGGTTGCTGTGTAGTTTACCGGCACAAATGACGCAGCTGACGAGCCAATCGTCAGAAGTGTTTGGGGGTGGGTTGTATTGGGCTCGCCAGATGTTCACGAGTTTGCCAAACGTGTGCGTGCCCAAAGCTTGCGTAGCAGTGCCATGGGACTCCTCCACTTGACGTCGTCAGCTTTTAAATAATCCCGACGTCGAGGCCAATCATCCTAATGGAATCTTTAGTTTAAGGAAATGCGCGTAATCCTGGTGGCCATTCGAAAAAAATCGGGTCGCAGGTCCAGCCGCTGCTCTGCTCCAGCTCCCCAGAGCATTGTGCAGCCAGCGGTTGCGGTCATTGTATCACGCGCGCTGATCCAGGCCGGCGGCCAAGACCTGCCAGCCCGGCACTCCCACCCCGTACCGCCTTTGTTTGTTGCGTGCCTTTGTTTCGAGTTGGCAAGCTCAGCCTCCGGCAACTCGCTCTGCAGGAATAACGTCAACTGCGCCCAACACCAAGACACCGCCTGCAGCGATTGCCCCCGGCGGAAGTGTGTTGTGTCGCGCGTGCTCTGCCCTCCACCACATCCGAGGCGCGCATAATCACGGACGGCCGCGCCTGCAGCCCTTGCAGCGATTCCGCCAAAACCGCCTCTCGCTCCACTCTCGGCGCTGGTCTCTTGGTCGCCGCTCGCTCTTCCACCGCCCCCCCCCGTCGCCCAGCGGTTTTGTCACCGCTAGCTAAGGGCCAGTCGAGATTCGTCACCGCCCTCTAGTACTCACGACGTTTTTTTTTCCGCGGCATGCCCCTGCCGTTGGCATCTTCCATTTTTTCCCAACGCCTGAAAACTCTCAGTGATTTTGAGAGTTGTATGTGGCTCAGTTTAAGCAAGGAGGACAGATACCGGCAGTCGTCGACCCCACAGGGGGCAGGGATCGAATCTCTCCATAGTCGGGCGATCTCGCTAAAGAGGGGTTCTTCGAGCTCGTGTAGCATTCGTAGCGCCACCACGTCTTGCTTGTTCGCAAGCCACGTGAAACCGTGGCTCCGGGGATTGACGAATCTCGTATGATACCTGGTTTCTGCCTTAGTCAGGCGGTGCATAAAGGTACAGAGGGCCAACACGAGTCTCTCGCCATTAGGTGTTATCGGAAGGCGCACCGGGTTGTCGTGGGGAAAGTACTCCACGTAGAGCACCTCAGGGGAGAACCAGCCGGGCTCAGTGAGGCCGAATTTATCGGTAAGCCAGACATTCAGCAGAGCGCGCGAAATCAAGGCATCCAACACACACGCTAAGTACCACTGCTTCCCCACGTTCTTGGGCCGAGGGATCACAGTCTCCGCCTGACTCAACAGCCCCTGCAATCCGTCGCTGTCCATCTTCTCAATCATAACATCCGCCAACAGCAACCACCGCCATGAACAAAGCGCAAGTTCCACGCGCGTCAACGTCATTCCGTTCCCGTTCGCTTCCCGCAAGGCCGTCTCCGCCCAACCGGAGACGAACTGCGTCAGCTGCGACGCCTTTGCGTCCGACAGACTGGACCTTCTCGACCCGCCACTCTCGCTGATCACGCGCGCTAACAAGGCAGTCCTTCTCTCCACCAGGTCCGCCTGGATGGCAGCTGCGTCTACCTTAGCCGCCTCCGCCGCATCCGGCCGGCCCACGCCGGTGTACTGACGCTCTAAAAAGGCGGTCCTTGCCTCTAAAGCAGAACCGGTCACAGCACCAGGTGACATTCGCGGGAATGGAACCTCCTGGGGAGCCCGGTCTTGGGGAGCCAGGTCTTGGGGAGCCAGGCTTCGGGGAGCCAGGTCTCGGGGAGCCAGGTCTTGGGGATCCAGTTCGGAACCGACGGTGAGACATGCGTGGTAGAGAGACGTGAGTCTGTTGGTGTCTAACTTGGCGGAGCGGACGACGCAGCTGACGAGCCAGTCGTCGGAGGTGTTCGGGGGTGGGTTGTAGCGGGCCCGCCAGATGTGCACGAGTTTGCCGAACGTGTGTGTGCCCCAAAGTTTGCGAAGCGCAATGGCGATGGGCAGCCCTGCGGGGTCGTTCCACTTGATGGCAGTAGAAGAAAGGTCAACGCGGCGAACTATCTCGATGGCGGCAACGATCTTATGTGCGGCGTCTTCGGCCTCCGGGAGTGCGCGCAGTCCGGGCGGAAGCCACTTGAAAAAGACCCGCCCCTCGAAGGTCCAGCCGCCTCTCTGCTCGAGATCGTCAGACCAGCTCTTCAGCCAGCGTCTGAGGTCGTCGGAGGTCGCGCGCTGGTCCAGTCCGGCGGCCAACACCTGCCAGCCCGGCTGTCCCGCCGGCGCCGGCACCGCTTCCCGCGCCTTTGTTTCAAGTTGGGCGAACTCAGCCTCCGGCAACTCGCTCTTCAACAATAGCGCCAACTGCGCCCAGCGCCACGAAACCGCCTGCAGCGATTGGCCCAGTGTCCGATGTCGGAGCCGCTTCAGCACCATTGGGATCACCCCCGCCACACTCAACGCCACGAACTTCCGTCCTGCCGCGGACAACGGCAGTTTTGCCGCGCGCTCGCGCTCTAAACACTCCCATACCATCTCCGTCACGAATTCCGATACCTTTACCGGCCGCCGCGCATCAGACACACTTCGACACGGAAGCACACCCGAGCCGCTGGCGTGCGACGAAGGCCACGCCGCGTCCGCCTCGGCGCCTCGGGAAGCATGTTGTATCGCATGCGCTCTGGCCCCCACCACATCCGAGGTGTGCATAATCACCGACGGCCGCACCTGTAGCCCTTGCAGCGATTCCGCCAAAACCGCCTCTCGCTTTTCTGTCGGCGCTCGTCGCTCGGTCGCCGCTCGCTCTTCCATCGCCGCCCGCGCAACTACCGATCCTCCGTCCAGTCCTTCCACTAGCACAGCCAGAAGGATCGACTGCGCACACCGTTTGCTGTTCTTGCTGCATCTCATCTTCTCGTCCGCGGTTTTGGCCGCTTTTTCCGTCCCCTCTTACGCGGGGTATAAATATATCTCTCCCTGCCAATTGTTAATGGAAGAGCTGCTCTCCTAGTCAACAAAGAAGAACATCGCGAACATTTGTGCACCCAGTCCACCAGGATCATGTAGACTGTGGATGACCGTTTGGGTGCCGGGCAAGGATTCCTACGGCATGGTCATACAACTAACTCTCTGGCAGGGAGTTCTGCCAGCCGGGGAGTTTTGCTGGCCGGAAGAGAACTCTTTCGAAAAAGAGGAAAGAAGACTGACCAGCCGCTCGATAACTGAGGGCCAGCCAGTTGGGGGACTTAGTTTGTTTCTTTGCAACGCGGTGGCGGTGGGCAGCTTTGTGGGGGTTGTTTCACTCGATGGCAGTAGAGGAAGGGTCAATGCGGCCGGCTGGCTCGATGGTGGCAAAGATCTTGTGTGCGGCGTCTTCGGTCTCCGGGAGACCCGTCCCTCGAAGGTCCAGCCGCCTCTCTGTTCGACATCGTCCGACCAGCTCGTCGGAGGTCGCGCACTGGTCCAGTCCGGCGGCCAAGACCTGCCAGCCCGGCTGTCCCGCCGGCGCCGGCACCGCCTCCCGTGCCTTTGTTTCAAGTTGGGCGAACTCAGCCTCCGACAACCCGCTCTTCAACAATAGCGCCAACTGCGCCCAGCGCCGCGAAACCCCCTGCAGCGATTGGCCCAGTGTCCGATGTCGGAGCCGCTTCAGCACCACCGGGATCGCCTCCGCCACGAACGTCCGTCGTGCCGCCGACAACCGCCATCCTGGCGCGCGCTCGCGCTCCAAACAGTCGCATACCATCTCTGCCAGGAACTCCGATACCGTCACCGACCGCGTCACACTTCGACACGGAAGCACATCCGAGCCACCGGCGTGCGACGAAGGCTACGCCGGGGCCGGCTCGGCGGCCACTGAAGTGTGTTGTGTCGCGCGCGCTCTCCTCTCCACCACATCCGAGGTGTGCATAATCACCGACGGCCGCGCCTGCAGCCCTTGCAGCGATTCCGCCAAAACCGCATCTCGCTCCACTTGTCGGCGCTCGTCTCTTGGTCGCCGCTCGCTCTTCCACCACCCCCCCGCGCAACTACCGATCCTCCGGCCAATCCCTCGACTAGCACGGTCAGAGGGATCGGCTGCGCACAGTACTTACTGTTCTCGCTGCATTACATCTCCTCGTTCGCGGGTTCCGGCGGTCTTTTTTCAGGCTTGCCTCAGAATTTCCTCCAGGCGACTAGAGTCCATAAGCCGCTATTCCCAGCGGCGCCACCCTCCAAGTCGATTTTGCTCTACCACCGGGATCATGTAGACTGTTTATGATGGTCCGGATATCAGGCAAAGGCTGGTGCGCCATGACAACCCTATAATCGATCAGTAACCGCCATTCTCCTGTTCGGTGGTATCACCTGAATTCGGATCCACCGGCTCGATTAGCCCCCTCCCCTCCTTTGCGGGCACCCTCCTTTGCGGGCTTTTTTTCTTGGATTATCGGGTCTCCGATAGCCTCCTGTTGTAGCATAGTCGGTCCGAGTGACTCAGTAGGATTCTCTTGTTCGTAACACATGAAATTCCGCCGATTCCACTGCTTGTAACTTATGCGAGACGACGAACATCGTCACCGGCGGTGTGTCACTGACGCGGTGGATCAATCAGGTTTTGGATATGATGTACGGTTGATGCTGAAGTGGACATTGTATATTTGAGAGCACTCTTCGAACTGCGATCGATTGAGGCTTGAACCCAACCAATCCCGTCCCAATTATGAGACGAGGAGAATCGGTACCTCGTCACGACTCAGCCCAACCATCCAGTGGCTGTCCCAGCCAGGCGTCTCACAAGGCGCTCAGAAGCGGGCTCAAAGCACTGTGGCACGAAGGACTCAGCGGATGGTGCCAGGGGTCTGTCGCACGCACAATACGACACCGTCTGAACTCCAGGCGTGACGCCGTCTGAACCCCAGGCGTGACGCCGTCTGAACCCCAGGCGTGACGCCGTCTGAACCCCAGGCGTGACGCCGTCTGAACCCTTCCTTACTCGCACCGCCACCGTATTTCGCGAGGAGGCAGCCGGCACAATAGGAGAGGAGCCACACGTCAGAACATGGAATCAGGCTCCACAGACAGACGGGGGACACATTGCAAAGAGCCGGCCGGGTAGGACGGATCCGGCCGTCCTTGATCCGCTACTAAGGTGGGTAACCCAAGAGTACGTGTCAGGACAGGGCGAACAGGCAGAGAACAAGCAGGAGACGACCAGCATGAGAACAGAGACTAACCCAAGACAGTAGCTAGACGCAATAACTTCAGTAACCACCCAGTGATCGACCCGGCGGAACCCCGAGATACCAAAAAAAAAGTATTGCTTTACAACGAATATTTGCTGGCGGGAAAGAAGAGCTAACCCTTAGCGTGATCTTTTCTGCGGCTGGTCTCCATGGTCTGGATTCATTCGTCGTCTGCCATTTCCGATTTTGGCCCAGCGAATGAAAGCCCCCCTTGTTTCCACGTTTGGTCTGCGGGCCAACGTGAGCATGATGCCCACGTATGCGCAGTCTGTGACAATATTAGCGGCTTGCATTCCGTCCCTCCACAGTGCGACGAGCTCGCTGAGCAGAAACTGACCCAGCTCCATCTGCATTTGTTTTGCCGACTCGTTCCGCTTGTTAGGAAACAATGTCAATCCCGTCGCGACTTTGTTGAACTTCTGGTGGTAGTTTATTTCGGCCAGGGTAAGCCAACGCATAAGGCTACAGACGGCCAACACGAGTCTCTCCCCATTAGGCGTTATCGGAAGGCGCACCGGGTTGTCGTGGGGAAAGTACTCCACGTAGAGCACCTCAGGGGAGAACCAGCCGGGCTCAGTGAGGCCGAATTTATCGGTAAGCCAGACATTCAGCAGAGCGCGCGAAATCAAGGCATCCAACACACACGCTAAGTACCACTGCTTCCCCACGTTCTTGGGCCGAGGGATCACAGTCTCCGCCTGACTCAACATCCCCTGCAACCTGTCACCGTCCATCTTCTCAATCATAACACCCGCCAACTGCAGCCACCGCCATGAGCACATCGAAAAGTTCACGGGCACTAACACCACTCCGTTCCCGTTCACTTCCCGCAAGGCCGTCTGCAGCCAGCCGGACACTAACTCCGCCAGCTCCGACGCCTTCACGTCCCGCAGACCCGACTCTTGCGACTGGCACTCACTGATCACACGCGCCAAAAAGGCAGTCCTTCTCTGCACCACGTTTGCCTGGATGGTAGCCGCGGCTACCGAAGCCGCCTCTGCCGCACCCGGCATGCGCTCTTGGGTGTACTGACGAAGCAAAAAGGAGGTCCTTGCCTCCAAAGCAACATCGGTCACAGCAGCAGTCTCCGGAAACAAAGTCTTCTGCGGGGGCAGGCGCTGCGGAGGCAGGCGCCGCGTAGGCAGGTGCTGCAGAGGCAGGTGCTGCGGAGGCAGGTGCTGCAGAGGCAGGTGCTGCAGAGGCAGGTGCTGCAGAGGCAGGTGCTGCAGAGGCAGGTGCTGCGGAGGCAGGTGCTGGGGGGGCAGTTCGAAACCGACACCGAAGCATTTGCGGTAGAGGGAGCTGAGTTGGTCGGCGTCTGCTGTGGCGGGGTGGAGGATGCAGCTAGCGAGCCAGTCGTCGGAGATGTCGGGAGACGGGTAGTATTGGGCGCGCAAGATGTGCAGTAGTTCACCGAACATGTGTGGGCCCCAGAATTTGCGTAGTGCGGTGGCGAGAGGTAGTCCTTTGGAGTTGCGCCAGGGAAGGGCGTCACGAGGGTTGATTAGGCGGGTTAGCTCGATGGCGGCAAGGACCATTTGAATGGAGTATTCGGTCTCCGGAAGTGCGCGCAGTCCTGATGGCAGCCATTCAAAACAGATCGAGTCCCCGACGGTCCAACCATCGTTCTGCTGTCGGTCCTGCCGCAAGGGTTCTATCCAGCGGCTGAGGTCCCCGTAGGTCGCGCGCTTGTCAAGACCAGCGGCGATGACCTGCCAGCCCGGTTGGGCTGTGGGCGCAATCGGTGTTACGGTCCGCGCAATTGTTTCAAGTCTCGCGAACGCCTCCTTCGACAACCCGCTTTGAAGTAAAAGCGCCAACTGCGCCCAACACCACGAAACCGACCGTACCGAGCGACCCATGTTCCGCATCGTACGCCGTGCCAACACTGCCGGGATCTCCTCAAACGCGGCCGCCGCCACGAGCATCCGCGCTGCAGCCGACAACTGACATCCTGCCAGGCGCTCGCGTTCCACACACTCTTTCACAATCTTCGTCACGAACTCCGAAACTTTCACCGTCTTTGCTGCGGACGCATCCGACACAGCTATGTTCACACCCGACACACTCGGGTTCGAGGCGCCAGCCCGATGCTCACTCCCGGTCGCGCTAGCGGTGGAAGTACCAGGGGCGGAAGTCTGTTGTATCTCACACTCTCCCCCCTCCACGCAGGCAACAGAAATGCGCGGAGGAAAGGAGGTGGCCGCCACCACATCCGAGGTGTGCATAATCACTGACGGCCGCACCGGCGGCGACTCCGCCGCTCCCGACCCTCCGGCCAGTCCAGAAACTAGCACAGCCAGAAGGATTGGCTGCGCACAGTGCTTAGTGGCTCTCCGGCACATCATCTGCTGTCCTCTCCTTTGTGGTTTCGGATGGAGTTTTTATGAGCCGCATAATTATATTCCGAGGTGTTCGTCGGTCATTGGATTGGAACGTCAGATGGGCCCTTGCTAGTAGCCCGGGGATTCTAGTCCAAAAGGAGAGCGAGTAGAGCGTAGAGAGGGACGGAGACGACAATACTTAGTATGTAATTTCCGCTAAAGCTCGGAGCGCAACGTATTGGCACCCAACGCACGAGGGAACCAAAATGCCAAGAAGAGATCACACGGCATGGTTACTCATTTCTAGCTACCTCAACCTCTCTTCGTCTGTACAAAAAAGGAAATGTGTTATTCGATGTTATGTCGTGAGACGTCTGAAGGATGTGCGGACTTCATTCGATTTCTACCGCCTCCCTTCGACCCCTCATCGCCGTCAACGACCTGAGCTGCTAGGCGGAAGAACGGCAACAAGTGAAGGTGAGACAGCAACGAAGGGGGACAGCAACGAAGAGGGTCAGCAAGCAAAGGGGGGACAGCAACCAGCGGGAGTATGCCCAGCTGATGTGGGGAGTTCGAGTAGGAGGTCACCTGTTTCTTGCAACTGGTTCCGATGTGGAGAGAGCGCCTGCCGCCGACTCCGGAGCTCTCGGACGAGCGCTTCGTGGCACAGGCGCTGCAGTGCAGCCGCTGCTCTGCACAGGACATAGACACGCTCGCGGCGGCGATGGACTCCCTCGTTCGAGGCGACGGCCGAGATGACGGCCGAAGCACCGCCTCGCGCAAGAAGCTAGCGCAGAAGAATAAGAAACCGGAAAATAAGTGGGCGTCGTGGAAGCAGAGCACTTGGCTGGACGTTTGCGGAGGCACTTGAAGGAAAGTGAGTTTGCCGAACTCCTTCGGCCCTTCGGTTGGGTGGTCCAGTTGTTTTTCACAATCACAATACATCTCCAAGACCTGGTTCCTGTGCTGGAGTACAGAACCCTATATTGGTCGGTCTGCTCACAGCCCAAGTGACACCATCGGGACATTTTTGTTCAGCACAGACCAACGGAGTCAACGACCTGCCTGAGTCCGAAGACGCAACCTCATCGTGGCCTGTACACTCCTGCAAGCCTGCGGTTCTGATGTTCGTCTGAATGTGTGGCAGTGATGTTCATCCGCCGGGTGAAAGTGCGGTTGGATGTGCGGGTTTGATGCCAAATAAAATGCGGTCAAGTCCGAGCAAGTGGAAGGGACTGCCTGCGTGTTTGGCTGTATTCGTGGCGGTGCCGATTGCGGGTCCGTCGAAGGAGGTGTCGGCGGCTAGCGAGAGGGATGCGGCGGTTGATTTTCTTGGGTGGCCGTTGCCTTGTGTGGAGTTACCGGCGTCAGTGCCGCAAGTGTCGTGTGCGAAAGGAAACGCGATGGGCGAAAACGCGCCGGGTGTGGGAGTGGTGGTGCGTTCGCTGAACCGGGCGTTTGCGGCAGGCGACGACGACGGGACAGGGGCCTTGAAGCCGCTGGAGCAAGAGACGTTGGTGACGGCCGTACGCAACGCAATTTTGAAGGAGGCGGTCAAAACGGTGCGACGCGTAGACCTGGACTTTTCTACCTGTCGCTGGCGCTGGCTTAAGGTGGCTGCTTTGGTGCGTGAGAAGCTCTCGGGAGGCTGGGGGTCGGACGGCTACACCGAACCAGGAGAGGTGGCTGGAGAGGCGGTGTTGGGTAGGAAGCGGGAGGACGGAGAGCGGGAAGGTGGGCTGTTCTGGGCTTTGGTTGCGCGTGCGGAGTCACTTGTGTCGCGACCGAACGGTTTGAGTCCGGTATGGTACCTGGCGTGCGTGTTGCAAAAGGTATTGTTGCGCGGTCAGTTGGAATCGTACCTACCCCCGCCGTGGCGCCCTGGTACGACGGGATGGCGGTCGGTGAAGATCCTGCATAGTGCGGCTTTCCCGCACGAGTTCTTCCGACTGCCGGATGCGGAGGCATCCATGGAGATGGTCGCGGCGAGCGACAAGCTCGGTTGGTGGCTGCATCAAGTGGAAACCAACGTCGCTGCCCGCGGCCTCAGCTGGACTCGCCGCAGACATGAGTCCGGCATCCGTCGACTCTGCGCCACCATAGGCGAGCCCGTCTTCGACGCCGAAATCACTCCCTGGCGCGAGCGCTATTCGCCACCGCCCGGCTGGAACCTCTCCAACCGCGACTTCCTCAGCTACTTACTCGGCTTTACCGGCGCCCAGTCCCTCACCGAGGTCGCCGCCCCGCGGCCTCCGCGCCAATCCCCGGCGGTTCCCGAAATGGTTGACCTCGTCGACAGCGTTCTCCGCCGCTTTCTCCGGCAAGAACGAGAAGCCGAGGCCGCCATGACGACGAAGACTTCTACCACGAAGACGTCTACGACGGAGACTTCTACGACGGAGGCTTCTGCGATGGAGACTTCTACGGCGGACACTTCTACTATGAACACTTCTGCGATGTCGGCCCCTGCGGCCCCCTCGGTCCCCTCGGCCCCTGCGGCCCTTGCGGCGACACCCTCGCGATATGGCTCGCGTTCTTCCTCGAAGGCGGTTCGGGAGCAAAAGTTGGCTGCCCTGCTGGCGGCTTCGTTGCGACTGGCGCTGGAGGACCGCGAGCAGCCGTTGCAGCGGGTGATGCCAGTGCATCGTTGCGGATGGCGATGGGTGCATTTGTCTGGATTGATGTTGGAGTGGCTGGAGGAGAAGGAGGTGGAGGAGCTGGTGGATTTGGCTCGTGGTGTGTTGGGGGAATTGGCGTCTCGGCAGTGGATGTTGGCGTGTGCGATGGAGACGTTTGTCCCGAACCGGCCGGTTGCTCGTGCGGTGCGTGGCTTGTTTGGCGCGGCGTCTTGGTGGGCTTGCGACCATTTCTTGCACGCGGCATATTTCCCGCGGGACGTGGGCCGGCTGCCGGAAGGTGATGCGGCGCGGCGACAGATTGTGGCGGTGACTAAGGCGGCCCACTGGATGTCGCGGGCACTCGATCGTTTCCACGCCAGTGCCTTCACTTGGAGACCATCCAAATATGTCGACATCGCGGACTGGATTTATGGAACCCTCGAGCCCCAGACGTTGCTCAGCCTCCTCCGCCTCGTCCGTGCTCGTCTTCCGGTGAAACCCCCGCCTCGTGTGTCTAACAGACAACTGCTCCTTGCCCTACTCAAATTCGCCGGCGTCTACAAGGTACGAACCGACGCTTTCAACCGCCTCGGCCGCCAAGGCTTCCGCCACAAACGACCCGCCGACGATGACGCCGACTGCGACCCTATCCACGGCCGACCCCTCGACAACGACGATTCCCCGAACGGGAACCCCCGGAAACGGAACCCCCAAAACTATCAGGCCGATCACACCCAAACCTGGAACTTGCAAGAACGGAACCCCGGGGAACGGGACCCCCGGGAACCGGACTCCCGGGAACCGGACCCCCGGGAACCGGACCCCCGGGAACCGGACCCCCGGAAACCGGACCCCCGGAAACCGGACCCCCGGAAACCGGACCCCCGGGAACGGGAAAGCTATCTGGGCAGATTACCGCTCAAGAAGCGCATTATGACCTACTACAGCGACGATGGGCCCCCTAGGCAGGTGTAGGTCCCGAGTCGAGTCGCACAGCCATCGGAAGAGGCGGTGGATTTTGCGAACATTCTAAAACGTCTCACAACGGGCACATTCACTTCCGCTCCTAATACTGCCGCGTAGGCTGGTCTAACACGGGTGCATGGATTGGTCCACAGCCCTCTGTGCATCAACTGGCCACATGATCGGCACAGGCGCACTTATTTTTGGGCCCGAGAAGGCACCTGATGAAGTGTTACGCGGGCTCCAGGAAGTGCCGACCGCTGGAAACTCGGCTCGCTGTGTTTATGTGCCCTTCGACAACCTCCGGTGAGAGTCCGTCGACAATGATCACTGCGGACCCGACGACGGTCGGCGACCGGCCCGGCGTGAGCCCGGCCGGCGTGAGCCCGGCGGGCGAGAGCCCATCTATGCTGGTCAGCGGGACTTCGTCTGTGGTTGCGGATACGTCGATGCTGGGCTCGGCTGGGTCCGTGGAATCACAGACCGTGGAGTCGCAAATTGTGGGGCCGAAGGCCGCTCGGCCCTCCTGGTACTCAAGTTCGACTTTGACGAGCCAACCGGCGCCCCACCGGTCGGCGTCGGACCAGGCGGCGTCGGACCGGTCGGCGTCGGACCAGGCGGCGTCGTGTGGTGGCGTGTTCTCTGTGAAGCTGCCAGACAAGGTGTCCCGGCCGTCCGCGGTGCGGGCGCCTGAGCCGTTGGCGAGCCGGCTTCCTTCCCTGCATGAATTGGTGTCTCCGGAGCTGCCGGGTTTGACGGCACGGGTGGTGAGAGCGTGTTTGTCGCAACAGTACGAGCACAAGTTGTCGGCGAAAGTGTGCCGACGCATCGAGACGGTGATGTCGAAGGTACTGGCGGGGATGCCGGCCTTCGCGATGCAGGTAGACTTCCGCAGCTGCGCGTGGCACAGTCTGTACCTGGCGGGACTGGTCTGCAGCCAACTGCCCGAGTACCATGGGGTGCTCCGCGCATACGCGGATCTGATCCCGCGGCCACCCGACCTGACTGACTCCTGGTTCCTCGCCTGCGTGCTGGAGTTGCATCCAGACGCGCGCCGGCTGGCGCGCGAGCTCGCAGCCGGGGTCGGCGTCGGCCACGTCGTCAGCGCCGAACGCCTTTTCCGCGAGGCGTTTGTGCCCACCGCGCACGTGTGTGCGCGCCTGCCGACGCGCGCTGAGGCGGTTCAGCTGACCTGTGGGTTCTCCCAACTCGAGTGCCTACTCGCGATGCCGGAGGCAGCGCGCACGTTGCCCTGGAACCAGCTTGCGCAGCGCGAGACAATGCAGGGGCAGCGACTTGTCGCGTTCTTACAGAGCGTCCTCGACCCCGCCGAATGCAGCCAGGTTATTGCGGTCCTGCGCGACCGCCTGTCGCCGCCGCAGTGGTTCAGCCTGCCTGACAAACACTTCCTCGCCTGTGTCCTTGACCACGCGCTTTCTGCCTGGGTCTCCGCCCCAGAAGTCGTCGTGGAAAACGTCCAAACGCAAGCCGAAGGGCCGGGCGAAGTCGACGTGCTGATCCCTGCTCCGGCTCCGGGGCCGGTGGCGTACATGGAAGAGGTGTTGGCGGAATGTGCGACGACGGAGGCGGAGGAACGGTGCAGATGGAGTGTGGTGCAACAAGAGCAATGGGCGAGGGCGCGGTCACAGGTGGCTGAGTTTGCGGCAAAGAAGTTGCGGGCGGGATTATTGAAGGCCGAAAGGGCGAACGAGCGGTGGCGGAGCGTGGGTTGGCGTTGGCTGAGTCTGGCGGGGATGTTGCATGACGTTTACGGATCCGAGCAGGTACTTGTGTTGGTGAAAGAGTGTGAGACGATGGTGGCGCGACCGTCAGGAGTTTCGCCTCTTTGGTACCTGGCAGTGTTGTTGAAGCGGTGTGTTTCGGACCGCTTGATGAAGCGGCTT